TGTTTTTCTCGTTGCCATGTTCCCACCAATAACGTAGCTCCATTTTCTGCCTTTAAAAGCACACACAACCCACAATTCCTCTATTCGCTCCGACGAAGGGCTAACGCTCGAAACGTCAGCTTTTGTAATCGTTACGGTGGCCAATTTACCATTTCAACTTTGTTGATATATCCAAATTATTTCGTTACTCCCACCGACGCAGCCCCAAACAGTTTCTTTCGAAACTATCAGCCTTTATTCATTAGTAAGGAGAATTACTGATGTGACCTTGGCAGTGAAAGGGTCAAACGGTAGATTTTTGAAGTGATATGGGATGCAACCAGGTAAAAGAGTAATACGCACATACTTTGATACAATGGTTGATGGACAGACACAGGCGTAATTTGTTTGCATTTGAAAGTTGAGCAAAGACAAGCACGAAACGAGTGTGAAGGGCCACACTCGAATGAGAACGGCTCTCCATTGCTCTTTGTTTTTCTTCGTTCGTTTCGAGTGCCGACAGAAGAGGCCACTAGAGAACTACCTTCAGAGACGTTCCTTGAAAAATTACCTTTCTCATTTAATTGACACATATGGGTAAGACTGCATAGCGTCAAATTTAAACAAACAAACTTGTTAGGTAATTAACTTCAGGACATACGGAAGCTTACAGCAGAGAACTGCGACTTCAGATACAAAACTCTAAATATGTTGTTAATATTAAGCATAACGGTATAATCAATTTTGACAATGTATAACACTCTTAATCACAAAACACTATAGACATTGATACACTCTATGAATTCATACACACCATAACAAATTATACCAGTGAACACAATACAACCCATTCTTTAGCAAATTTCATCTTTTAAAGAGCAAGGAATAAATAAAATTGTATCTATTTCACGGCCTTCTTTAAGACCTCAAATTATGAAACTGAGTGAAGTAATTGTATTTGAGGTACATAATTCTTCATGTTAGCTAATGCTCAGGTCTCCCGTTGGTCTCTCTGAGTTGGCCAGTAGGTCGCTGATATGTTTTTGATTCTCCTCGAGCTCTTCGAGTCTTTCTCTTACTGTTATTATATCCCGCTGTTGTCGATCCTACAACAAATTCCAGAAGTAATGTCATTTTCCAATCATTACAAAGCTACCAGTTCGAGTTTGATTTGCGTTTCAGTTCGATAATAATAGACATGAAAAAAAAAAAAATATATATATATATTACGCACTTCTGATTGGCTGAAAACGAGTGTACTTTTCATGTAATACAAGTGCACAGCTGTAACACGAGTGCAAATTACAAATAGCGCACGCGCTGTCATAATTTCGTCTATCTCGCCTTTCTGTGGGTTTTTTTTTCATGTAAAATTATCAATAGGAGAAAAAGTAATTTTGAAAAAAATTATTCTTGCTTATCAACACTAAATTGCACTCGAAATCATGTCCCTACCTGTAATAACCACAAACAAACCACAGTTGTAAAAGGTAGATACATCATATATGGTAAATATACTATGCCGACAATCCTACTTGAATTTTCTTTTCAACAGAATTCAAAGCATTTCAACTGATCAAAAGTAACACCTCAATGTAGGATTAATCAAGCGAATCGAATTCTATTTACGGGAAGATAGCTTCGCTGCTACGCTCAATAGATCATCACACTGATAGACTGTCTTTCGATGGAGTGTCGTTTAACCAAAACTAAAGTACTTACAAGCCAAAGCATTAGAAAGGAAAATACCTTAAAGAGCCAGTGAGAACTCTAAGTTCAATCACGTTACCTAAAAGCGCAGGAAAACGTCTAAAAGCGCGGGAAAACGCCTAAAAGCGCAGGAAAACGCCGGCGACCAGAGTCGCAGTTAGTTTTAGTTTTGCATCTGATTGGTTGAGGAATAGCGCAAGCTTTTAAGACTACTCTATGAGCGGTGAAAATTTCTTTCGACACTCATTTGAAAATTGTTCTCATATGAGGCGAGAAGTCGAGTTTACCTGGTCTAGAGTTGAATTAAATGGCACAGGTGAGCTTGTGTTGGGAATAAACGCCACTCCTGTACCCTGACTACCGTCCAGGACGCTCTTAAAACGATGCTGTTTTTTCCTAAACTGTTTCCGTGAAGAAAAAAAAAGGTAATAAATAAAGAAACAGTCAAAGTACTTTCTGTTTCAATTACTGGTACTATATCGAAAACTATCAGCGCATGTTCAAATTACTCTCTGCATGAAATCCCAATGAAAGCAGTTTCAAGTAAATGTGCTTCCTTGGGTAAGACACTTTTACTTTCTCACTTTTTTTGCGGAGGGGGGGGGGAGTTGAAACGAAGAAATGAGAGAAGGGGAGCGAGGAAAGGGGGGGGGGAGTTCCTTTCAAGAGAAGTAAGCTTTACCAACCTTCGCTATTTGGCTGTGTAATTTCTTTCTCTATCACCTATCACCTTTCCAATTTTCGCGCTTAACAGCCTCGCTGGGAACTTACGACTATTGGAAAACACCAGTGTTGTAAAATAACTCGCGCATGCACAGGTCACTACAGAGTAAACTCGTTCGTTAAGATCCCAGCTGGTCATTTGCGAAGGAGAGTTTTTCTTCACGTTTTTCCGTATCGCTGTTTTACCAAAGAGTAAATTGATTAAAGAAAGAGCCCAAGTAGCAAAAACACTAAATATTAACAAACCTTCTCAAACTGTCTCTTTATTTTCTCGTTCTCAAACTCTAAATGCTTCCTGAAAAAGTCAACGATCGCTACCATATTTAACGATATCTGCTCATACAAGTACTCGATACACGTTTTCTTGGCACAAAACAACTAGAAAAACGGCTGTGGATAGACTACTCACTCCAGACTAAGCTTACATACTGTGTACGTTTAGTGGTAAACAAAAAAAAAGGCAATATAAAAACTCACACGAATTAGCCTTAAGTTCAAATACTTACTTGACTGAATCTTTCTCTAGTTTCAGTTGTTCCTCTCGAGCTTCTAAGACTTGCATTCTATCCTTAAGATCACCGATTTCTTCTTTGTTTTTCTTAGATTTCTGTTAGAGAACAGAAATAAGTGAAAAAACTCAGTTGTCACATGTGTCAAAAATATTGTACACAGTATGTCCCTTGGTAGTTTTTAATGCGCCAGAAAGGCAGCTACACGAAGGATGGAGGGCAACAAAATTATTGCACACAGACAAGACAATAGTCCACCTAATTATCTGTTATCCACACCTTTTTGTATTCTTTTTCAAGTTTTCTTGACTTCTCTTCATTTCCTTTCAGTTTTTTCTCCAATTCACTAATTTCTTTTTCCAATTCATTCTTTTCATCCTTCCACTGTTGCCTGAAAAACAAAAATCATAACTATAACAGCTAGTGCGGTGACTAAAAGTATAAATATACACAATTGTATTGCGTTTGCAGGTAAAACCTTCTCTGACGAAGAAAACAAAAATTGGTGATCACCTATTCTGTTCGAGATTGCCCCGGCTTTCCTCTTGTTGTCTCTGTAAATCTGTTCTTGCAATACCTGAGACAAAAAAACGCTACCTCTTAATACAAACTGAAAAAGCTTAATTAGGTTTAAGAAACATGGATAGCAAACAGAGTCGGTCCTCTGGCATATGGATGAAAAATGTGAAAACCACTCCAAACGTAAAGTTGCGAGGAGGCGCCATGTGGCGTTGATCGGTTGGTGAATACATAAAAAGATGAAAAAAATTCAAAAGAGTAGGCAGGCAAAGAAAGAGCGCCGCTAGGAGGAGGGCATAACAATCCTGGAGTGCTCTCCTCACTCAGCCGAAAACTGCTTTAGAATTATGACTGTTTCTCACTTAATTCGTCATTGAGTAACTCAAGCGATGTTTTGAGCCTGTCATTTGCTGCCAAAAGTTGCTGTTCGTTGCTCAAGAGACTGAAAGGAGAAAGAAATACATGTTACAAAACAGCTCCCAAATGGGGAGCAATTTTTACTAGAGTTGCATGTTATGGACGCTCCGCAGCATCACTGGGTAGGGTAAGGTAAAATCTGTTTACGAGCCAAGAGGCCCATCAGGCCGGCGCTTAACTCCGGTTTCTGTCGCACAAAGCGACTAGGAGTATTTCTACTCTACTCCCCCCTGAATGGGATGCTAGTCCATCGCAGGGTTACCCCCCTGCATTAAATTTGCCGGTACCCATTTAAACATCTGGGTGAAGAGAGGCACTATGAGAGTAAAGTGTCCTGCCTAAGAACACCGGGCTCGGACCCGGACCACTCGATCCGGAGTCGAGTGCACCAACCACGAGGCCACCGCGCATCCCTATGTCCAGCCCATCTAATCTGACTTCAATCCCGAAGACGGCTCAATCCCCATTTCCCACTCCACAAGTTTTTCTCATGCACTTCATCCTAAGTATTATTACTGTACATAGAGTAAAGTACTGTACATAGAGTACAGCTACCTTCTGGATTTATGAGGCAGAACGGAAGGTCTTATTGTTATAAATTCATCACTTAAGGAGTATGGAGGTGTAGGGGACCAAGTGCACGCCACGCCCCTTCTTGACTAGCCTTACTGTAAGGATTCGACTTCCAACCACAGTTTACACTTTCTCTTCAATTCACCAAGAACCTCACCTTTGATACTGGTTTTGAAGCTGCTGCTGTTTTTGCTTCAAATCCTGGGTTCGAGATTTTTCCTAAAGAGAAAAAAACTTGGTGAATTTTATTTGTTTTTTTAAACATGATATGTAAACTAGCCCCACTTTTTATGTTTCAATAAAGTAAGGATTATTTCTTTTATTTTACGACATGGCCACTGTTGAGAACGACTCAAAAAATCCGCGATTAAACTCAACCTTTTACTTTATTTTGACTAAGGACAAAACCTCCCTGGCGAATACTCGATCTACACGAGGCAAAATCTCGAACTAAGTAAAAGCACTTGACATTTGATCCCTGTCACTCATTTTAAAAATACCATAAGTGTAACGCAACGTCACGTTCTCCTGAACAGCCACCAACCTTATCAAGTTCATTGGCTGTGTTTCGCATTTCTTGAAGCTGATTCCTCAGCTGATTGCATTCCTTTTCTGCCACGTTCTTTAAAGTATAGAGAAATATATAAAATCACCCGTTAGATAATTGAGGGTCACTGTTAAAAACCCAATGACCAGTAGCACAATCACCACGCCCATTTGGTGCTGTCAAAAAACTTTCACTGATTTCTCATGTTTAACATTTACTAAAAAGCCAGATTTTTGCTCACAGCTAAAGTTGTCTTTGGTGATTACTATAAAGGCAATAGAAGGGTAAAACACATTACTGTTTCTGAGAAAATAAACAAAAAAGATTGAAAAAGGGTCCATATTTGAATGTAACGCGTAACACAATTCTTAGGGTAAAATTTTTCAAAACCAATTTTTTGTAAAAAAGGAAGCTCGCATGGAGAAATGGATTACACCTAATAATAACACACAATAAACACTACAATTGAGCAAAGTTTCAACATTTTAAGTTTATTGATATACATCAAAGGATTCATCAGTTTTGAATATCCTTCCTGTAACGCTGCTGTTTAGAGAATGGAGATTCAGAAAGTACTTGTCCATTGCAAGCCAACCTTGAAACCTATGAAGATAAAAACATACGAACTAAATGCTCATACCTTGAGTTTTAACATGGCAAAGAATTGATCAAAAGCAATAAATACAAACAGAGAAAATACAGTTTAAAGAAGTCGCTACGGTTTATTGTAACGGGGTTACGCAATAATATTTCTTGCCATCTTACCTTTTCCTTCAACCTTCTGATCCAAACAAAGTACAATGGGCTTTCAAAACTGAGCAGATCGGAATGCTCACAAGTTCACCTTGTTATTTCCATAGTTTTGAGCTCACAGCTTTAAAAACGGCTAAAATATTAGCTTCGGATTGAGTCGCTACGATTTTCGCCATCTTAACTTTGTTTACGAAACAGAGTGTGGGCAAATTCAGCGTCTTCAACCGTCTTGAAACCCGAAATTCTCTCCGTAAACACGCCATGCTTTCTTCACGAACTAAAGCTCTGTAACCTCTCCTCATATCATTATTTAGGGGGGCTCCAAGGCATTTTTAAGGGCCATAATTTTCTGGGAATTGAGCAATCTGTAAATACCGCGTGTGTACAAGACAGCGTGTCTCCACGTGAAATTGGCGTATTTTGTTCTCGAAAACATCATGGAAGGTAAAGGAGAAAACAAGCTTTCACGTATTGAAGAGTGGAGAGAAAAAAAGAGAGAAAAAAACAGACAGAAGAACCTAAAGTACAACGAAAAGAATCGTGAGAAAAGAGCTGCTTATGCCAGAGAAAGACGGCATGCCGACAAGACAGATCATCAGCAAACGCGCCAACGAACAGCACAAGCAGCAAAAAAATCAAAGAAACTTCAAGAAAAAAAAGAAAAGAAAGCTGTCTTGGAAACAAATATGGAAAAAGTGCGACGACAAACACGAGAGAGGGTTAAGAAGTTGAGGGAAAAAAAGAAGCAAATCGCTAACGCAGGAGAGGTAAGAGATGCCGGCAGCCAAGCTAACGATAATGTTGCAGGCTTCAGAAACAGAATGGCGGCAAGTAGAGCAGTAAAGAAAGTTAAAAAAGCATTGCCTGAAACTCCAGAAAAGCGTGCTGAGATAATGAAGAAGATAGGTGCAAGTCCGAGAACGAGGAAACATCTTGTCAAAGCAGGAATCATGACGACTCCGGAAGAGGAAAAAGAGAGCAAGGTTTTAAAAGCAATGGCAGCTGACATCAAAGAGGGCTTAGAGGAAGTTAAAAGGAGTGGCTCGAATGAGAAACGAACTGCTTTGAGAGCCTTCAAGTCCCTGGCTTTTGGACAAAACGTAAAAAAATCTCGGGCCCAACGTTCTTTAGCAAAAGTCGTCTCTCTGAACAGGAAGAGCATTGGACGTGGAATTAAAAGAAGAATGGAAATTTTGAAGGGGGAGGAACCAAGTTGGCTCGTTTCTAAAAGGAAAGTGAGATTTGATGCTGTTCCTGAGGAGGTCAAGAGGAATGTTTACGATTTTTGGACGACCCAAGCTAGCCGTCCAACAGGAGACAAAAAGGATTTTGTTCGCTATCGTACGGGAAAGAGCCAGTATACAGAACATGCCAAGCACATCCTGGAAAAGTCTCAGACAGAAGCATTCCTAGAATTCCAGGCCCTCTATCCTGGCGTAAAGATAAAGCAAAGGAAATTTGAATCGCTCAAGCCTTTCTTCGTGAAAGCCGCAAAAGAACGCGATAGAAAGTCCTGCCTTTGTCGGAAGCACGTAGAGATCAAGATCGTCCTTGGAGATTGTATGAAATTTCGCAAAGCAGCCTTAAAGGAGAGAGATCATGAGAGTGTTAATGTTCTTGCCACTATTACAGAAGCTGCAGAACTGACTCTTTGCCCCAAAGCAGAAGAAGATCCTTACCATAAACTGGCCTGTTTGGAAAGAGAGTGTGAGCATTGTGGTGTCCACCTGATGAAACTCCTTCCAGAGGAAGAATCAATTGAAGGTACAGTTATTTGGAGACGCTACGATTATGTCTCAACAGGGAAATTTTTGGCAAATGGTCAGGAAAAGAAGAAGCTGGCCCTTGTAACAAAAGAAACACCACCATCAGAAATGTTTGGCTACTTCAAGAACCTCATGAAAGATTATCCAATGCATTCCTTTATGGCCAAGTGGCAACGCGATCAGCTTGACACTTTGCTTGAGCATTTACCTATTGATCATGCAGTCGCCATTCATGACTATTCAGAAGGATACACCTGTAGGTCGCAAGATGAGACGCAGTCTGAATACTTTGACGTAGCGAAAGTGTCGTTGCATGTAACTATACTCTACCGCCATGCTACAGAAGTTAACGATGGTATTGAAAGTACAGAGGAGAACCCAGAGATTGTAAAGGAGCACGTGTTTGTGATTTCCGATGATGTCATTCAAGACAACAGTTCTGTTCACAAAGTACAGGAACTTCTGAACAATTACATCACAAACGACCTTGGCCAACAAGTTAAAATTATGCACGAATTTACCGATGGGTGTGCAGCCCAGTACAAGTCTCGCCACTGCCTGGGAGATTTGTCCTGTTGCGTTGCAGACTTTGGCTTCAAAGTGCAGCGCAATTTCTTCGAAACCTCACATGCCAAAGGCGAACAGGACGCTGCTGGTTCTCATGTAAAACAGAAAGTTAGCCAGGCAGTACTGCGTCGAACAGCCGCCATCAAAAGCGCCAAGGATATGCACACTTACCTGACAGAAAGTTTTACTTTGCCTACTGCGTCAAGCTTCTTGTCAAGAACAAAATCTGTCAACTTAAAACAGCGCCTCTTCTTCTATGTGCCAGCATCTGGCGAGGGATCAGTCAACAGAAACAGACCAGAGCGCAAATTTAGAGAGATCAAGGGAATCAGAAAGATCCATGCAGTTAAGTGCACCACAGAACAAGGAAAGGTGTACACACGTGAACGGTCCTGCTATTGTCTTGACTGCCTGCTAGAAACTGGTGACTCTTGTGCTAACTCTGAGTGGGTTGATGACTGGAAAGAGCTGAAGATTGAAAGAGAAGCATCACCAGCAATTACTAGGAATGCACAGGAAGACACTGTGGCAGTGACAACAGAAACAGCTGTCAGAATAGCTGACTTAGCCGTAGCAGGCAGTGTGGTTGCAGTTGCAGCAGATGCCGACTCCAGCTATGACTATTATCTTTTCAAAGTCAACAGTGACGGAGTTGAGGAGCTAGCAGCAGATGTGACAGATGCTTATGGCAGCATTTACAACACAGGGCAGGAAGTTCTTAAAGGAAACTTTTTCCTAAGAGACAACCTAATCGACATGACATATAAACTTGACGAAAGTAAAGTTGCCATTGTTCATGCAGCGACTGTGAGGCACATTTGTTCTGACCTTCGCACTGTAAAGAGAGGAAGAAAGTCAGTGTATAGAGTACCTGTGATTCTCAATGAGGAGATACTGGCCTCCATGTAATATGAAATGTCTATTAAAAGGTTAAACATTGTTTTATTTATATGGTTTTCTTGTATTGGTGAGCTGATAACCTTGAAAATACCACGCCCGCAAAGAATTCTGGGTAAAATCAAAACTCTTACAAAACATGCGAAAAATGAAATATTTTTCAAAAAAACAGCAAGACTTGTCATATTCTGGGTAAAATGAAGCTAAAAGAGTGATTTGGGTCAAAAGTATCAATTTTGCTATTTTTAAGGCATGTTACAGGATTGGGAGTGATGATTGTGCTACTGATCAATCTAACGTTGTACTTCAACCCTGTAGAAAATAACCCTCTATGTACTGATTGATTCTACGACTACCTCAATATACGTGGTCATGTTAACGCTTTTGTAAAATGCATTATTGAGCCCCGTCCACCAGGGCAGTAATGGTGGATGCACAAGGGGTTTACAGAGAAGAGACTACTTTCCTCTCCCGTATCCCCCTTTTGTGATGAGAATACTCTTTAGTAGGAGTACAAACCTTCAATTCTGTGGCTGATCTGACTTGGTCTTCGAGTTTCTCAATTTGAATACGATGGGCGGCATCGGAATCTGCTTTTGCTCTGAAAACAAAACATATCTGTAAAACGGATTATGCCAACGCGCCTTCAACGTGCACAGAGGGTAGGACAGAGAGAGAGAGAGAGAGAGAGGGGGGGAGGGGGAGGGTTAATGGCACATCCGGCCTCAAAAAACTTGAAAACCGGTCCTGACTCGTAGAACCTGACCGCTTCCCGCTTTCCGCTTCTCGATTCAGTTTGTCATGTGCTGTGAGGATTTCGCGATACCTTTTCAAACACCAGCGGAAAAAAAAAAACAAAAAAACAAAAACAGAGGGTAAATTCTACGTGGAGAGGACCAAAACAGAAAATATATAACAAAAAGTCACTTTGCTACTAAATACACATATGATGAAGACTTAAAAGGAATTCAAATCCGGATTTAATTAAAAAAAGATGGATCAGGCCATAAAATAGCACAGCTAAAGGGTTGTAAGAAAATTTCCAAACCCCAGGTCAACCCTCTCTGTACACACACCTGTACCTTACATGACGTTCGTAGGGTTATTACACTGATAGCTGCGTTAGTAAGAAATGTGTGCATACCTTTCCATCTGTCCCACGCTGGCCTCCAACTGTAAAGGGAGAAAAAAATTAGGACGTGAATTTATGACAACTCCACATTAAAACGTTTTATTTTTCCTTGCTTCTGTTTACAGTCTCCTTACACCGGCATGGATGGTTTGATGATGACAGATGTGTACAAAAGTTAATCTTGATCTTTCTGTCATAACTGGTGTTGAATTTCCAATATTAAGGAATGCAGTCAAATTGCAACGAAACTGCCCTTCAAATACCCAAAGGTGAGAGATGCCAATTTACACAAAATATTTCGATAAGCAATACTTTATGAAAGCATTTTAAGGCTTAAAACCTTTTCTAGCCGAATAGTCTCCCGGAACAGCACATTAACGTGTTTAAGATCCTTTTGCTGTCCTCTGTGCAGCCTTGAAAACTAACCTGAAGTTTAGCCTGCTCTAACTGAGTTATTTTCTCCCATTCCGCTTCTCTTGCTGACTGCACTCGTTTACTCAGTTCATGTTCCTGGTAAAAGAGCATGAAATCTATGATGTAAAGGGAACAGCTGCTTCCATCAAGTACATTTACTAGACGAAAACTTATTCGAGCAGCCGAAATGTCGCAGTCCACAACGTTAATAGTAACATCGTGAGACTAACAAAAATATTGATAAATCATCTTCAATATTCACCATAATGAATAACCACAAATTTGTTTATTACCTACAGCTTGTACAGAATACACCACCAAGTTCACAAGAACCATCATTTCAACTAGAAAGATTCGTGACACAAGTCTACTGAGTGCAACAAGTTCGAAATTACTCGTTAACTTCCCTAAGGTAAAACTATTGAGAAAACCGACTACATTTCTGGTGGGACGAAAGGAGAAGAAAACCCAAACGAAAAAAGAAACAAAAAAAAAAAAAATTGTTCGATAAGAGCGGAGCTGAGGAGAAATAAGCTTGACCGAGTCAAACAAGTTGTGTTTCGCTTCCAAGCTTATAATTCTTGATTTCGGGCTCCTCTTTCTCTTCCCTGTGGGAAACTGGAACAGTTAAACCTTTATCCAGTTGTATTCTTTGTAATCTATTTGGATTTTAATTTCAGTGATGCGTTAGAGTGAAAATGAATTTGGATCCAAGTACGGGAATCACTGGATGTTTCCAGTGGTCTAATGATGTAGACTAATAACAGCCTAAATACCTTTTCGTCAATGGTTTTCTTGAGATGTTCCACCGTTCTTTCCAATACTTGTACTTTGTTGTTATAATTTTCTAACTCTGCTTTTAATACATCACATTCTCGTTCCAGATCACCTTTGTTCTTCATTAGGCTGAAATTCAAAATGCAATGAGACTCGAATACTGTGAAGTACGTTATAACGTATCTAAATAAGATACATTGTGAATCTGCCACCACATACCTGATTTTCAAATTGCTCAGTTCAACTTTGTGTTTGTGTGACATTTCCTCCATTTGGCTGAAGATGAAACAATGGTACATGAATAGTACACTGAATATTAGTTTTCATGCCACAGAAAAACACTATTTTTATGTCAGCTATCTTAGTTTGCTATTGCATATCAACAACATGCCAGACAGAATAATAACAATAAATGAGCATTTATTGTCATTAGACCCCCGGTATAACAAATTTTAGGTCTGCAGCACAAAAACACAACTCAAAATAAATCCAGTGATTAGTCAAACTATATAATTAGTATAATTTCAGAGCTGAGCAAAGAGTTTCCAGCAATCTGATTGGTCGAGCGGTTCCTTATATGACGCTATATAAACCGCTCCACACGGTTTATATAAAATGATAAAATAAATTGTCAATAAATGTACTAAAATGTTATGATTTTAGAAATTTCTCTGTTGTTCAGCTCTGAAATTTTTATACTAAAACAATTATTAGAGAAAAATCGAGTTTCCAGATGGATTTGAACCCACGACCCTCCGTGATCTAGTCGGATCCTCTAACCACTGAGCTACAGGAGACTCTATGGTGAACAAGGGTCAATTAGTGGGTATTGACTGCACTAGCTGATGTTAGGCTGCGCTAGCTGATGTTTGGCTGTGTAGCCGCGTGATGCAGTTCCAGTCAATACCACTAATTGACCCTTGCTCACCATAGAGTCTCCTGTAGCTCAGTGGTTAGAGCATCTGACTAGATCACGGAGGGTCGTGGGTTCAAATCCCATCTGGAAACTTGATATTTCTCTTATATCAGAAATTGTTTATTTCATCAAAACAATTATTCGCCTCAGGTTCGGTGAATATTGTCAAATAATCCCCTCGACTTCGTCTCGGGGATTATTCGACAATATTCACCTCCCCTTCAGCGAATAATTGTTAAATATAATGTAAACTTGTGACCATTCATGAGATGGGACCCTTTGTAAATGAATGCAATGTTGTCAACCTCAATCCAAACCTTTTTTGAGACATGGCCTCTTTTTCCAGTCTGTTTATTTCTGTCGTCATCTCCTCCTTCAACCAAAACAACACAATTAATACAAAATAATGAAAGTGTTACATGACAAAATTTTAAAATTGACTTGGAGAGATACTGTATGCACGCTTCACTACTTGGCAAATCTTTTGAAAGGGCAAAATTTGACAAGAAACCTTTTTCCTAAACAACATGGTCACACAAAACATGTACATGTAACTAGCCAAGTATAGAGTTTTGCTTGTCAGATTCTCTCAGCATTTTAAGTTTGAAGGGGTTTATACCCTGATAAAACAAGTAATGGGCTACATTGACAAAAAAGATCTTGCGTATATGTTTTTTTTTTTTTGTAACTGGCAAGTGCAAAGCTCTACAGCAGATCTGAAGTGAAACGAGGAGGTCATTAGGTCTATGCTGTGCCAAATCACTAAAACTTTGCCTAATGACTACCAATGACAAATTCAAAGTTAATTTTGATTGCCTTTGGTTCATTGATCCACACAAATCATCCCCTCCATTGTTACAGTAATAAACAGTGTTAATTATAATAAATGATTTCACTATAAATTATACAGTTACATGCAATTTCAAACCTGTGTTTCATTGTTTTTCTGATATTCTGCCTGTAAAGTTTCACATTGGAGCTTTAAAGAATCTCGCTCAGTCTGAAGAGATAAGCAACATAACCCATGAAAAAAATTACCAGGTAATTCATTTGCAACAAGCAAGCTTGTAATGAGCTTGGCTTACATAACGATATCAAAATATCACAAACATGATGATCAACTTGTACCTCAAGTGATTTACACTTTGCTGTCATTTCTGTCAGTTGCCGTGCTTGCAATCTGGATACCTGGGATATCACAGGATATCAAAAAATTAAATCAATGATTGAATATTTTAATTAATAAATTGTACAAAAAGATATTATACAGAACCCCTAAATGGTACACGTAACCCTGCTAAACCATAATGCTGCCAATAATGAAGAACAATTTTCATGCTGTAGCCCGATAAACGATTATGCATTTCACTCACATGGTCAGACTGTAGGCCAGATGTTTCCCGCTGAGCTCTGATTTCATCCAGTTCACTTAAGAGGCCTTTGATCTTCATGTGAAGCTGCAGAATACATGAAAAGAAGTTCAGTGTAGAAAATTAATTACCATTGAGATTAGTTGATATATACACTCTTAGAGAAAGCAAGTGCAGAATGCACACCACACCTGAGCATTTTCTCTTTGTAAAGCTCTTGTTCTTTGGGCATCATTTGGTCCATCTTGTTGTAATCTCTGTACACATGAATCTCTTTCCTTCTTAAGTGATGCAATCTTAAAAGCAAGTATTTCATGAAAAGCAAACATATTTCCAATTATATTCGTCATAAAACAACAACAGTCCATAATCTGAAGTTGTGTGCTAAATTGGTAAGCAAGAGCTCGAGGCTGAGAGCAACCTAGTTATGAATACAATACTTT